CAGACAACAACTCTCTTAAAACTTCAGGATGGAATATCTGTCACAGACTTGCAGGGTGAAGTGCAGAGGGAGCGAGAGGCAGAGCGTATCTTCCGTTCATGGTGTTTAATATATCCACAAAAACAAACACATAACACCAATACAAAACCTACAATAAACACTGTCACTTCAAACAAAAGGGCACTTGCACAATGCGACTTAACATTTCCTAAACATTCAGTGCACAGCGAAAACAGTGACACTCACCCACATAACGACACGGAAACAACAACACAGAACTCCCCTGCAAAGGTCGGGCTCCCAGACCGACCAGGCCTAACCCCAAAATGTCAAGGGAGGTAGGGAGGGGGAGAACCCCAAGGAGGTGGTTCTGCAGGGGGTCTCCCATGCAATGTTCTCATTGATGCATTTTTTGTACTCCTCCCCGATCTGTCCAGCATAGGGAGGGTCTGCAGAGAAGAGACCGGCAGAAGAGACTGGCAGAAGAGAGACCAGGAAAGGAGAGACCTGAAGAGGAAAGGCCAGTAGAGGAGAATCCGTCAGAGGAGAGACCGACAGAGGCGAGACCGGCAGAGGAGAGAACGACAAAGGTAGGAGAACGGGTAAGGCGCCACGCCTCCAGGCAGGCAAGGGGAGGAAAAGGCCAGTCGTCGAGACACACAGAGGGAGGCAGAGACCACTCCTCCAGGCACGTAGGGGTAGGAAGAGGCCACGCCAGGTTGTTGTAGGCAGGGACCAGCTCTGATAAACTGTAGGCAGGGACCAGCTCTGATAAACTGTAGGCAGGGACCAGCTCTGATAAACTGTAGGCAGGGACCAGCTCTGATACACTGTTGGGGGGGGGACCGGCTCTGACATGCTGTAGGCGGGGACCAGCTCTGATACACTGTAGGGGGGGACTAGCTGTGACATGCTGTAGGTGGGGACCGGCAGTGACACGATAGTAGGCGGGGACCAGCTCTGACATGCTGTAGGTGGGGACCGGCAGTGACACGATACTAGGCGGGGACCGGCAGTGACACGATAGTAGGCGGGGACCAGCTCTGACATGCTGTAGGCGGGGACCTGCTCTGACATGCTGTAGGCGGGGACCAGCTCTGACATGCTGTAGGTGGGGACCAGCTCTGACATGCTGTAGGCAGGGACCAGCTCTGACATGCTGTAGGTGGGGACCGGCAGTGACACGATAGTAGGCGGGGACCTGCCTCTGACACGCTGTAGGCAGGGACCGGCTCTGAAATTTTGTTGGCGGGGACCGGCTCTGAAATGCTGTAGGCGGGGACTAGCTCTGATACGCTGTAGGCGGGGACCAGCTCTGACACGCTGTAGGCGGGGACCAGCTCTGACACGATAGTAGGCGAGGACCAGCTCTGACATGCTGAAGGCGGGGACCAGCTCTGACACGCTGTAGGCGGGGACCAGCTCTGACATGCTGTAGGCGGGGACCAGCTCTGACACGATAGTAGGCGGGGACCAGCTCTGATACACTGTAGGCGGGGACCAGCTCTGACATGCTGTAGGCGGGGACCAGCTCTGACATGCTGTAGGCAGGGACCAGCTCTGACATGCTGTAGGCGGGGGATGCAGGCAGCTCCAGGCATGCCCTCCACCACCTCCCAACCACGTCCGGGGGCTGGTTGATTAATCTCTCCGCGGACTTGTCTGTCCTTGATGTTGGTGGCTGGAAGGGGTCGAAGTATGGCTTGAACCTGGAACCCTTCTACCTTACACACACGCATTGTTCCTAAATTACATAATACAAAAATCTGATAATTATTATAAGTACATTTATTTGGTTGAATTGAAGAGTTATTAGTGCGGTACCTTGGTATTATATATAAATCGTAAACAGAAAATGAAAAAAAGTTTTACGCTTTGAAATAAGATACGATCGAGATCTAGCTAGATTTTGTGAAAAACAGTGACTGGTGATTTCTTCACCCAATCTTAGATAGTGTGATGGTTTAGCCAATAGCTGGAAGTACAATTGATTGTTTCCCTAATGGCTTGATCAGCTCTTCACATGTAAATAGAAATATGAAATTAGCAGCAAACTAATAATTTTAAATTAAACCAAATTCACTGACCTATTCTATGTGTGTAAGTATAAGTACCATTATATTTACATAAATTGCTCAGAATGTGTCCGTCACATGAAAATACAAGTGTGGTCTGAATTGTCAATTTTCAATGCCTACTCACAATGCAAAATGAAATGGTTGTTTTGAGTACATTTGCCAGCAACAAGAACAAAGCTCTACATTAACTCTGCAATTCTCATTCCTGTAAAGAGGACTGCATTTGAGGTGAATTTCAGGTTTTTCAGACAGTTTAACCAAATGTATTTTTTATACTGTCTGTAGGAAATCTTCATCTAGCATTTCTTGTCCTGGCCAAATTTGATACACTTTTCTCATGGCAGGCTGGATTTCTAATCACTACATTTTATAATGTCTGGTCGGTGGGTTGCCAGAATTTTACATTGCACCTGCAAATATTAGTGTTGTTAATAGTGATTTACAGTACCCACTTATGTTGCTTCTGATTAAATCCAGCTATGGCTAAACCTCATCTCATGTAGATAGATCAAAGAGAGTCCACTGGCTGTGATGCCACACATCAAAAAATAGACGAGGAACGTGATTATTTTCCTTATTTTAGTGGGTGTGGGTGATAATCTGCTGATTAAATTCCATGATCTGTTTGCTGTGCCAGATTGCTGGTTGCCTCTGTTTACAAAGCAAAAGCAGAGCCAAGCATGACCATCCTGGGCACCGCTGACAGACTCTGAGCCAATCCACAACCGGAGGGCAAAATGAACGGGATTAGGGGGCGTTCTAACTGTGATGCTAGTATTTAATTGAATAAATGAACGGAGGAACACACCAAATTCAAATGCTCCTATAAAGGTGTCCTGGATGATACAATTAAGCAATTAATATCCCATCATGCTCTGAAGTGACAATGACATTATGAGAATTACATGCTACAGCCTTGGTTGTCCACAGGTCTCAACCAAATTGAACACCTATGGGAGATTTTGGATCATCAAAACACTAGTGACCCACCAGAAGATTGTCTGAGAATCGTCAAATATTGACAACTGCTTAAAACTTTGGGGTCACATAGAAATGTCTGGTTATAAAAATAAAAAAGTCCATTAAAACAACATGATGAATTTAAACATAGAGAGGCCCATTAATAGCAACCATGAGCCCTGTGTTCAATAGTGTTTTGTGTTTTCTAATCCAAGGTTTTCATTTAAAAAGGATCATTTGAAAGCTTTTTTGCATTTATGTTAGCGCAGCTGGAAACGTTTGTGCTTATTGAAGGACTTCAGATTAGTTGAGTATCTGCATCATCAATTGTTGGTTCAAAACCGGCTCAGAATGTCCAGAAACAAATAACTTTCTTCTGAAACTTTCCCTTAGATCCCCCGTCCGCCCCCACTAACCACCCACTACCCCCCCCACTAACCACCCTGGACAATATCGGCTCTGGTAATAATGACCAAGGTGGACATCCTGTACTATAACTGGCCATCCTGTACTATAACTGGCCATCCTGTACTATAACTGGACATCCTGTACTATAACTGGACATCCTGTACTATAACTGGCCATCCTGTACTATAACTGGCCATCCTGTACTATAACTGGACATCCTGTACTATAACTGGACATTGATCTTCTTTTGCACAACTGTATATATATATATATATATATATAATTAGATATTGCTCTTTTGCACAATTTGATATTTGAACCTGGACATGCTTTATCTTTTTCTGCAATCTGCTCACACATATGTCCTTGCTCCAATGAGCTATTCAAATACATAGTACACATTCTATATTTACCCAGTACCTATGCCAACTAGACAGAGTCTCCAGACTGTTCGTGTTGTGTGTTTTTGCTCTGTTTGCACTGTTTGTGCACATACTTAATGTGTGTTCAAAATGCTGCAGCTAGGGGGCAGAAAAAAACCTTCTTTGTGTAAACAGACTTGGCGAATAAACCTGATTCTGATTGAGTCTATTCTCGTTCTGAAATGCCAAGAAATCTTACAACGCTGTGTATTACTCCCTTCACAGAACAACACAAACTGTCTCTAATAAAAACTGTCTCAAATCAGAATAGAAAGAGGAGTAGGAGGCCAAACTGAGCAAGAGGACATTTGTCATTAGACTGTCTGAAACTGACACATCACCGGTCTTCAGCTGGCAGCTTTATTTAATTGTACTGGCAAAACAAGTCTGAGATGCTGGCCTTGTAATGAATACATAGATTTATTATAAACACCAGAGCGAGTGCAATGGTCAAACAGGCACAGGTCGGCAAATAGGCACAGATCTGTGTTGATCAGGCCCTGGGCTGTGGTACCTTGACACTGAGTTAAATCATTTTCCTATTGTGACTCATTTCATGTATGTTTTCATGGAAAACCCCAGCCTGTTGTAATGTTTGCCTAGACACATTGAAGCCATTCTGCCGACTCCTCGTGGCCCAACACCTTACTAAAACCCTTTAAGTAGATTCTTAGTTTAATTTGTCCACCCTGTAAATATCCTTGTATATATTTGAAATTTATTTTACATTTGTAGAGTGCCTTGCAGAAGTTTTGACATATCTCTGACCCAAAGTTTGTACTGAATAACTTAGTGTGAATTCAAATATTTTACTGATATTTATTATTAAAATACTGACAAACCAAATAATTTATTATATTTTGACATATTGTTTTTATGGAGGCAAATATATAATATGTTGCTTTCATTAATGTTCGACTGCCCCCACATTCATTGTTTGTAGAACCACCTTTTCTGAGGTAACAGCTTAACATTTTTTAACGGGTACAGTAATAAGAACCTAGTTGTTCTCCACAGAAGCTGCATCAGGGCCCGGCGCCACCAGGGGGCTTGATGAGACTTAGCCCCGTCACATGCACTTTCTGCCCCCCAGTTAAGGTTTGACATCCCCTGTAGGAGCAAATAAATCATTGTATGTAGCTCAGTGATAGAGTACATGCTTTATAGTATGATGTCCTGTGTTCAATCCCCAGCTTCTCCCCAGGTCACTGTTGCAAATGACAATGTGTTCTCAATCGGCCTACCAGGTTAGATAAAGGTTACAAAAAGAATGCATTCTTAGTCACTTCGCCCAAGTGTTGGACCTGTTTGCGTTACAGACTCTAATTGATTACTTAATTCATTACAACTGGTCTTTACACAATGTGAAAGCAAAAAGCACACAATTGGAAAATCCTAGTGGCTAATGCAATTGATTGGACTTGATATACCAAGGCAAACAGATGTCTATGTAAGGTCCCATGCCTCCACTTCACGATAAATGTCAGAGCAGAAACTATAGAGTCCAAGGAATACTTTAGCCCTCTGAGAGAAATGTCTTATTATTCAGATCTGGGGGATGATCTGAAAACATTGCTAAAGCACTGGAAATTCCCTGGAACAAAGACGGCGCCATCATTGTGAAATGAAAACAGTTATAGCCTCCCAGGTTCCTAGAGGGTTAGGAAAAAAATAAGTTACAGAGCAAGAAGAGCCTTGGATCAGGAACCCAATGGCCTCTCTAACTGAGCATCAGAATTGTGGTGATATCAAAGTGCTTCACTCATCCCCCACTTGGGTGTAAAACATGATTTGAGTGCAGCTGGTATGTTTTGTTACGGCGGCTAAGTGCTGCTTTCCTAGTGGTCAGTTTAAATGACTGAAAGGGTATTGGCTAACACCTCCCTAGCTGGGGCGTGGTCTGGCTGCTGGATGGCAGTGCTTATGGCAGGACCAAGAGACATTGATACTGGTGGACAAGCCCAACTTAGCCTAACTAGCATAGTGTATAGTTCCATTTACATTTCAATTATTGTTGTTGCACCCCACTGGTATAAGAACAATACAAGTGCTCTGGTACAAACGAAATACGTTACTTTCACCCAAATCCCATTTTACATTCTATATACTACTGGGAAGAGATAATTCAGTTTTTGATTTTGGAGGAAAATTTCAAAAAACATTTGGCTTAGTCGTCCTAGTTGGAAGTGGAGGTGGAATTTAAATAGTTGCATTAACTGTGGCACAAATTATTATTTGATGATAAAAAAATCCATTTGTTTATTTATTTTCCTAATCATTTAATATAATTGAAATATAAATGAAATACCAAGAAAATAAATAACCAGTAATTTCTTTTCACAGTCTGTTTACATTTTTTTTAAGTCATTTCTTTTCACAGTCTGTTTACATTTACCAATGGGACATATTTTGGCGGATTGCACTGTGTCTGTTTCTAAGTCTATTTGTCTATCAATCTCTATGAATTTACAATCTATAAATTTTCCCCAAAGATGTGCGCTTTGGAGGTAGAAAATTAAATGGACAGGGAACGGTGTTTGTTCCAAATCGATTTGTATATACTGTTGCAGCATGGGTGCAAATCTGGCTCAATTAGCAAAAAATCATGCTCCTGTCTTCCCCAATCCAGTCCAATAACCCTCCAATTACCCATTCAATGTTTAACGTCTCCAAAAACATGAATGACATAATATTTTTTGCCTATTATTTATTGACTTGGTAAACATGTAATAAACATATAGAACATATGATTTTATGTCCTGTACACATTTGTAGCATCCTTTATTGTTTGGGACTGTATAAAACATATAAGTAATATCAACATTTTACACACATTTATTTAGGTTGTTACATGAATTGTAATACACTAAAATGTTCAACAACAAACAAATAACTAACATAATCAGACCTGCAAGATAGTTCACACATCAAAAAGAAGGGAACACATCAATCCCATGATAATCTTTATAGCTTTGATATTTATGTCCAAGACATAATATCCGTATTTGAACACCATCAATTGAAAACAATCTACTTGAATTGTCAAACTCAGAGGGATGGCGTGTGAATATAGGGACAATTAAAAACACTTGGATGTGACCCACATGCTAGCCTACACTGTGCTGCTCAATCGTCAGAACTGTACAAATCAAAAAAAGAAGCAACGGAAAATGTTTGGAATGCGGACACTGTAATATTTCCTGCTACCATGTCTCTAAAGACATTCCATGTTTTCTCACGTGTCATACAGACACAATTGATAACCTGGACAAGGTCACTGCAGTACAGCAGACAAAAGGCTGAGCTGTAATTTCTGATGAGCTGTAGGAAAAATAATATGCTATTTGTATTCTGTTCAACTCATTTTGGCGGCTACTTAACTTTTTTCCTTTTGCTATCTCACACAAACATATTCACATACCTGGCACAATCCCTGACACGATGCTCAAACTTTTTCAGTCATTTTTTTCTAAATAAATAATTGTTATGTTTGTTATGTTTTTTAAATGTTAGGAAAATGTTGTTAATTTAGCTAAAAATAGGTATATGTTTGTTTAGTCCTCGGGTTAATACATGTTTTGTGTCTGAACTGTGCACCAGTGCAAGCCTAGAGAAGACCGTCTGGTAAATGTGAACGCTAGAATACATCATGTAGATAGGATTGATCGAATATACATGATGTCTAAGATAAATACACACACTGTTTATCGTTCGCAAGCAGTTCACTAGTAAAACCAATATTAATAATAAAACATAACCATACAAAACAATAAAGTGCAGAGATGCTTAAAGACTTTTACTTAGCAATATTTGACAGATCTGATAAGAACAATGAGGTGTGTCTGGTGCTTTTTCCTCTCCTGTTAGCATTTAGCCGACCCTCATCCATAGCAACTTACACTAACTAGTTCATACTGCCCGTCAACATAGGAATCAAACACACATCTCCGGTGCCATGCTCTCCCAGCTGAGCTACAAGGACCTGTTAAACCACATATTTGTTCATGTTAGTATAACATTCAGCAAAAATATGTTTTCACTTCTCACTAGACTATGTAGGTAGAGATTGCACCTTGTTTAACATTCCATTGGTCCTTACTCGAACTCTCCACCCACTGTGGCACCGGTCCACATAAAACAAAATGGCCCTTTAATGAAACTCACCTGATGGGTATCTGACTGGCGCGGCCTGTTTGTCCCTGTTCTTCAGCACTCGCCAAACCTGTCTGGAAGCAAGAACTTGTATTCATGTGTTCCTACTTTAGGGATGTCCTCATTGTCATCATACAAATGTGTTAAAGGGAGTTACTGACTATCTCTCCCGAAGTTCACAATTCAAACATTTCTATTTTCTGAGGTTGTGAAGCAGCTGTTTACTGTTCAGGTATGTGGATTATTTCTTAAATTATTGTAATTCTCAAGCTTAACATGGTTTCCTAAGCAATCTGTACAGTATTGTCCAACCATGATGCGTGTTTTACTATTGTGGCTTGTCCATCAGTTGATATGTGTGTTATAATTTCAATATAGATTTAGTACGACCTCATAAACATTAATTTATTATTTGCTATGAATGCCACTTCTATGATAAAAACCTTAACATGAGCATTTAGAGTCATCAAGCCTGATACCTAATATGAATGTGTTTGGGCGTGAGTATCCAGGCTAATTCTCTATACACATACCATAGCTGTTGCCAAAGCAGACAAAAAAAACCTGTCACAATACAAAATTGAAAATACAATCAATGAAACCAAATGAATTCAACAAAGTTAACAAAATCAATACTGTGTGTGTGTGTGTGTGTGACATGCTGTTAAATATTTCTTCATTATAGAGTGTGAGTACTACTTTAACAATAACATGTCTCATTTGTCTTGCCATTGCAGTCTGTTACTATAAGGTACATAGCCTTCCTCTTGCAGTACTTAACATGGACCCCAAGAAGAAAACTGTGTGGGAGAAGACCAAGATAAAATTCAGCAACATAAAAATAAAGAACCCGGGGAAGAAAAAACCCAAGCCCCTACAATACAGACGCAGTATGTCAGTGCCGGACCTGAGATTTGTTAAGACCCCTGACCTGACTGAGGCAGACGGTGCCTCTACAGCCTCAGATGCCTTTTCTTATTGTAGTTCTTCAGGATCCAGTGATACCACCTCGGTCACCTCCGTCCCACAGTTTGCTGACAGGTTAACTGCACCTGATACAGGTCCCTCAGGCAGAAGGAATGTGCAGCACGTGGCTTTTATGGACAACAAGAACAAGTTTTCTCAGCCTATGGAGTCACAAATTCTTTACGAAGAATCAGAAGACGAGGAGGACTTTCGGGGAAGGATCCAGATGCCGTCCGACAGACGGAACACCCATGTGGAGAGGTCCACATCTTCTACTTCTGCTACTTCAGTTGACAGAGTAAAACCCCGAGTAGACAGGGAGAACCCGCACGTAACTACCACAAGACCAGGTGTAAGATTTGCCCCTACTGTCTCAGACCAAACAAACGCTGTTACTGAGAGACTGGCTGCGTCCAGAGAGCAAGGCAAACGACCACCAGGAGAGAGATCCAATCTAATGGACCAACTGAACATAGATAGATGGTCCCTGCAAGCGGACAGGATAGATAGCGTGAGCAGCTCGGAGAGTATTGGAACCCTGGTCAACAGTGTGGATAGTTCTGTATGTGGAACATCATTAGATGAACAAGGGTTCCCCTTCTGGCCCAATGACCCTGAGGACCCCTCAGACATCCAGGACATCTTCTGCAGAGAGCCTCAGGAAGACAATGAGGTCAGTCACAACACAAACATTGTAGTTTAGCGACGTACTTTAACTTATTTCTCAGGCTTCACATGAACTGTTGGGTCATTTTATTTAGGAAGGGAATACATTTGAATTGGACTGCTGATCCACATAAGACATTTCACTTTTCGAAAGGGAAAACATAATCATAAAAAATATACAGTAAGTATGTCTTGATAGCTTGATTACTTTGCAACCAACAATTGCTGGTGGAAGCATATCTGGCAGCTATTACTGTGAATCATTTTGAATAGAGTTCTCTACTGAGCTAACGGTTAGACAGGTAATGTGTGTGTCTATCATTTCTGTCAAACTGTCAGTGTCATTGAAGGACAGAAATATTTGATAACATTGTCAAAAACTTTTTGAGTATACTTCTTGAAAAGGCGATCAAG